GGACAAAGATTTCATGGCCGCGGTGTCCTCGTAAGAGGGCACCAACCATACACACTTTTCTCTAGCGTGGCGGGAGGCCCAATTTTTCCGTAATTTTCCCCTAAACGGGGGAGACGCCAGGAGGTAGCCGAAATTTCGGGTGAAAATATGATTGCACTCGAACTTGTCTGAACTCAAAAGAATAAAGAACCTGGACTCAAATGAACATGAACTGTGGACTTGTGGATCTTTGAACTTGATTGAACACGAGCAAGGAACTTATGAAAATAAACTAAAATGAATTTAATCCAATTTGAACAAAATACACCAATAACTTGGAATCAAAATAATAACAAGGACTTGACTCAAACTCAATTTGAAAATGAAATGAATTAAACCAGACTACTTAAACTTGCATTCTGAACTCAAATTGAACACTAATGGTCTGAACAATTTGAAGTTGAGCGAGTACTTGAAATGAACCAAAGACTTGAACTTGAATGGAGTCTGAACTCAAGAGGACCACAAGGAATCCAAGTATGAACCAGCACTTGAACTTGCACCTGAGGCTCAAACATATACAAAGAACAAACTTGAATCATATGCAACAGGACTTGTGGACTTGTGGACTTGTACTCAAATGAACTCAAAGCATATGAGCAATAGAGGATCTGATTTGAGCTTGGATCTAGATGAACTCAAGCGAGAACTTGGATCAGACTGCAAGGGACCCGAATATAGAGCTTAAACTTGAATGAACTTTAAAGAACTTAATTCATATGCCATGATCTTGAGTCTCTGAATTGAGGACTACACGAAACTGCTAAAGATGCAAGGTCCTTAGTGACAAAGTCAACACTTTCAAATAAACAAGGGTGAATAAAAATGCCATTGTATTCAATCCCGCAGTCAACAACCCTTCAATGGCAACCAAATACATCACCCTCTTACAAATATAGATGTATAATATACAACAAATGCAAGTGCCCACAATCTACCGTGGAAGATCCTCAAACATAAGTGATATGCAAGGAGACTCATTGGTTCCCCGCATATATTGAAATCAGTAAAAAGGAATGAACATAATGACTTATCAATAGTCATAACAACGATATACAACAAATGATACTCCTTACAAATTTGCCTGCGGATTGAGAGGGAAATACTGGTGCTTGATAGTGGAGGACCCGCCAAGCAAGTACAATCAGCAAATCCACCTGAGGTTGGTGAAAGGTGGATATGATATAGAAACAATGGGTCTTCTACGAACACTTTCAGGAAGTCATAGTGAATACAGCGGGCCCTTCCTACAAATGTATATGAACTGCTTGTGGATAACAATAGTGGGTAGATGATAAGCACAACGAATCACTGTGGACACAAGTACAGATATCACCTACAATAGTAGTGATTGAGGCGCCGCTAGTACGTCGTGCATAAAGACAACTCGATGTACGGAAGAGGACACCTCCTGGCAGAACGGAAAGGAAGTTTGAACAAATTAGAACTAAACTTCCTGGTGTTTCAAAGTTTCTTCTTGGTCTCCACAACACTGGAAACAACAAATCTACTACACTGGTGATCTTGGAAGGAATTCTTCTCGAGGCAGTGGTCACGAATCTCAAGAAAGACCTCCTCGGTGGATGAGAAAAGGGGAGTCAACATCAAGATGATGAGATGTCTCATGACATCCAGATTATACCGCCACCGGATCCGCAACACTTGCACTAGCAGACAGAAGGCGTTTACAACTATTTCAAAATACTCCTGCACGTGCACTGTAATTTGTATACATATAGTTACATTAAAGGGAAAAATACAATCTCGACCCGCATGGGCCCCGACGAGCCTGTTATTGGTACACACGTGATGTCTAAAGATACTGCGCGGGTCAGTAAGTGAATTCAAGTTCAAACCCATCCTATGTTGATCAATAAGAGTCGACAAGGTTTGAACCTTCAAACAAATACACGGTTGTGGCGACCGGTGTATTTGTTTTAATATATTCATATTAGTAGGCCTTCAAGGCTTATAATCAAGATAATTCACTAAAAAAGGCATAAAGCCTATGAAACCCAATCTTTTGTTGATAGCTCGATAGAGTTGACAGGGTTCAATCCACAAATGGAAATGACCCCCTTATACCCCGATGATGGCTATGTTGAATGCTTATCTCAACGGGAGGGGTTCACAAATATTTTCAAATACCTCTCAAAAGTCCATTCAAAATCCAAAATTCTACAAAGTCCAAAATCCAACAAATCCTAAATTCCAAGATATTTAAATTTGAAATCATCCATCAATCACTCAAAG